GCCGCGGCACCTTTGCCAAAGCCGATCATCAAGAGACGGGCATCTCCGTTGAAGGAATCTCCTGCTCGTGATGAGGAAGATGAGACATCCGACTGCCCCATGGAGCAAGTCGCAGATGAGAATCCATCCGCCTCTCAACAACCCGAGAATGTCGACATGGAGCAGGCTGATTATGATCCAGATTCCGACGACGATGATTCAGATGAAGAAGGGCGTCCTCGCGCAGGAAGGCCTAGGTCAAAGGCGATGCCACATCCGAAACTTGTTCCAAAGTCACCGCCACCAGCATTGAGGCTTGTCTCCAAGGTCAAGCCAGCACCAAAGAACATCCTGGATGAAGAGACGGAATCCGACAATCATCCTGGTGATCGACCTGCACTTCCAAGGCGACCAGCGATGCGGCCAGTTCTCACATTCCAATGACCGGTGGTTTGTAACATATGGATCCGTACACCCAGGACCTTTCGGAAACTCAAAATTCCTGAATTTCGTGTACGAGTACTACAAGGACTGCTCAACCATCCTCGATGTCAATCCGGATTTCCACTTCATCCCTCAGCATGAACGACCACATGGAGTCAAAGTATTTTGGTTGAAGGCCAGATTCGACGATTACTGGCAGCCAACACTCCAAGGTGAAGGGCCTCATACGGAGAAGCAATACATGGACTTCATCAAGAAGTTTACGGAACCGACATCATCCCGATGGTATGCCACAACGGCAACATTGATCTCGAGAAGACCGTCCAGAATGTCGAACAGGTTTGCAAATACTTCCACATGGATCCATCCAAGGCGAAACAGATCACCGACCTCATCCTCTGGCGAATTGAGAGAATGAGCAGATCGTTTTCCGGATGTCTTCGACATGATCCAAGGGGTGGTATCCATAAGGAACGCAGACGACAAGTGGACATGGGTTCTGATGGATCCGTTGAGCTCTACGACGCATTGACCTGCATCACACTTGCCAGGAACTTCATTGGAAATAAGCCAGGACTTCTCTTGGTGGCTATGTTCCCGAGCTATGGAAAATCACGTTTTGAAATTGCATTCGTGTTTCCATCCGTGGACGGGTCATATAAGGAACGCAAGGCACGGGGAGAAATTGTTCCAAGGAATCGGTGGATCGAAAGGCTCAACACGAGATCCGCACAAGATGCACTCCGGCCCGATGGCAAGGAGTTCTATGTCGATCCAGAGATGGAGTTCTATGCGAGATGCAATAGCGGACACACGACAAGTCGAGATCCAATCCTTTGGACGATCCCTGTACTCTGAGCAGCAGAGAGAGCCTCAATACGACGAACCGGACTATGATCTCCCAACGAATCCATTCCACCAAGTGTCAAGATCCGAGGCGCCTCATGAAGACGAAAGCACAGCTCAGCCCAAGCACAGAATGCGAAGGCCGGCACCACCATCCATTGAAGAAGGGAGAAAAATCAAGCCGTTCGCGAAGAAGCCCATCACATTTATGTTCCATGCAACCTATGGAAGTCAGCTCCTCAGCATCATGGAGAACGGGCTCAAATCTGGGAAATCCCGGTCAAACCCTTCGGGGAGAATGCACGTCCACATGGCATGCATCGATGACGTCATCCTTGACGACGATGAGTCAGAATCAGCATTGACCCATGTACCAAGGACCAAGACTATGGCATCCGACTCACCGAAGAGCGAACAGCGCTGACAGATCAAACCATCGAGGCAAGAAACATTGTTGCAGCATTTGAACCTGATGGCAGCCTCATGGCGAGCAACAAGTGGATCATGAAGAAGCATCTCAGTTATGAAGATTATGAGATGTACGACACCAAGATCCGTGAAGAAGCGACGGCACTCCACCGATCAGGACGAAGCCGAAGAAGCCCTCCGGGGAAAGATCCGTCAAACCAAAAGTCACCGTGGAATATCACAATTCAGAGAACCTAGACGAGTTCATCCAGGAACTCAAGGAAATCTATCTCGAAACAGATTTGAACAAAAAGGACGCAGAGGAAGAGCTCGCGGAGACAAAGGCAAACCTCCTCCGCTTCATGAGCAAGTACAACAAAGATCCAAGAAGAGCTCATCCCAAATTGACAGAGTGCGAGAGAGCCTCATTGGCACATGTCGATCCCGATGAAAATCTCGGAGAAGAAGAATTCTACTTCCCTCATCGAGGAGAATGTCCCACTATGGACGAGTACAAACAAGCACAACCAGGATCCGGCTATCCGATCAAGCTTCCACTTGGATTGAAGAAGGTCAAGTCACATGACGACCCGAGCATATGCCGACATCCTGGGATCGCTGATGCAGCCGACCGACCGTCCTCCTGTCCCTGTGGACTATCTCAAGATGCATGAGTTCACCTCATCCATAGCGATCAACATCCTTACCTTGAACCATGGAAACCTCACGAGGAATCCAAAGTTGGACAACAGGGAGGTGTACAACATGCCGATGAAGGATCGACCAATCGTGAACATGATGATGCAGAACAGTGCACACATCTTATGCCTGAATGAAGCAAACGCATTCTTCAGTCCTAATGATGAGAAATCCAGGGAGCTCATCAAGACGTTCATCCGATTCGGGTACAAGGGCATCGTGATCAAGCAATGGTCATCCAGACCGATCGCATGCTTTGTCCGTGGCGGACCTTCTGCAAGAGTGGAACTTCTGGCAAGACACATTTCCACCAAGAGTCAGAACTGGGGAACAACATTCGGAATGTTCAGATGTTTCTTCGGAACTGAAGGAAGTCGCACTGATCCCGAATACGAAATTCCGACCTCGGATTGCTTAGCAACTACGGGACCATCCATGTTTACTGAATCCAAGAAGTACATTGGACCGAGATTGCCAGCACGCACCATTGTCCAAGGACATGGCCGAGACAAGGAGATCGTCGTTCTCCATATCGAGCAAAATGATGAGTTTCGTGGCATGGTCCCGAAAGTTTGCCACTCGTGGACAGAATGGAGTGTGCACCCTGAAACCCATTGTCCGTCATCACCTGTACATGAAGTGTGGATCAGGATATGATCGAACATTCCCAGATGTGATGATGACTTTCGTATTTGGATGGGGAAAAACGAACATCCAGCAGGCTTTCCGGAAGGACGAGATGAACGGCATGGAAGATGAACAGCTGGAATTCATGCGGAACGATCCAACCAAGGCCATATTCGATTACCAGGTCTCATCCGCAGAGCGCTTCAAGCACGTGAACAATGACATGTTCATGAATGGCTCGCAGGACTCCGACTCGCACAGTCCCCTCATGGTTTACATCCGCAGCAAATCTGCAACCAGGCAACGCAACTCTGAGAGATACCAGGAGTACCTCAAGAAGAAACAAGCCTGGACCCCGCAGGAGTACAAGGACTACAACAAGCAGTGGGGAAATCAGAAGCAGTGGAAGAACTATAGAACCTCGACCTGGAATGATTATGGAGACTATGGCAGTAAATCCGACAGCAGCCGCCGATGGTATCGTCGATCCGACTGACCATGAAGATTCATACGTTCAGCACCACGAACTCCATTCAGATGATCCTCGCCAGTGAGAGATCAATAGTTTCACAATCGTCCCGTGTGTACATAGCTTTGTACATCACCCTTTGATACATCTAGGTATCTCAAAAAGAAGCAGTACATAGTGTTTTCCATTTCGAAAGCCAAGACATTTCATCCGAGCAGACAAGAGGATGCGGCATTTTTCATACACATGGCTACGGCATACATCGTGGCTACGGCATACAACAAGGCTACGGCCAAAGGCCATGAAGCCAATAGTATTTCATACTTAGTGCTGGAGATCAAAAGAAATTTGTGTCTGTTTTGTGTTTGGTTTACTGAACACTTGATCTCCTGCAACATTTTGCCTCAAAACCCCTTTTCTTTAACATTGCATCATACATGGTCGCGTGAAGCAAAAGAACCTTTACCTCACCCCTCCCCCCACTTTCCCACTGACCGACCCCCTGCACTTGACCCAAGGTTGAATAAACACCCAGGAAGCAGCGACGAACAAAGTGGTGGGCAGACCCAGGTAGTAACGAACTTACTTCCTTTCAAATGCCAAGTGCTGACTTCCCAGCGCCAACCTGACTCACTTCAGTTGTTGGCTACAACAACTGCCAACGGCGCCCGAACGGGCCCGACTGTGTCAGTGGGCCCCAATCGAAACCCGACAGCGCCATCGAGGCCCGGGAGCAAACTACCAATCCAGGCCACCATAGCGCGCCGCTGGTTTTGCTTTCTCACTTGAGCTGTTACGGGACAGCCGACGGTGCCCGACCGGCCCCAGCAGGCCGGACCATCGGGCGACCGTGAGCCACCAATCAGAGTAGCTGTTACGATAGCGCCAACGGTGCCCGACCGGGGCCCAACAATGCTAGCGGGATCGGGGCCTTAACCAAGACCTCCAAACTACAAACCTTGCAGAACCTGGTGGAAATCCCGGAGACTATCTAAACTGATTTCACGTGTTGGGCAAAGAAAGCCTCCCCGGCTGTGGCTGGAGGAATAAGCTCAGGTGACGTCCCCCATGCGGTGCTCGTTCTTGTGCTCGGGCCCGACCGCCATAGCGCGCCGCAGGTTTTGCCCAGGATGCCGCAAAAACCCTGCACGAAGGTACAGCAGCAGGGGCCGACGGCGCCAGCGCGGCCCACGGCGCAATTGGGCCCCCGATCGGTGCCAGATGGTGCAACTGGTACCAATATCGTAGCACACCGCCGGTTTTTCTTTTGCCGCTTTGGCAGTTAAGGTGCAGCCAAGAGCCAACGGTGCCCGACGGGGCCCGACAATCTTTGTGGAACCCTGAGCTGTGCAACCTTGACGCGGCCACCCCGGACCACCCCATAGCCCTTTCGTGACTTGTGGAACGCTGTGGAACTGCCCCAGACCACCCCATGGCCCCCGCGGAACCAACACTATCTGGGCTGAGACCCCAAAGCTTTCAGCTGTTGGGAGCCTAACTTTGAAGCATGGGCAATGCGCCGAGCTGCTCTTAATGCAAATGTGCGACTGCACCAGCAGAGCAGCGGCTTTCGCTCTCTCATCACCCAGCTGGTTAAAAATATCCAGCGCTTGCTTGCTGCAAGCCCGCGCCTGCCATAGGTCATTGCTACGGGTGCTTGGCTGCATTCCACACTTGGAGGTGCGTCGATATGCGGGACCCAAAAGTTGTTGGTTTTCGGTTTTCAGTTGTCAACAAAACAAAGGCCTTGAACACTACACACTCAATCCCTTGAATGTCCACACTAGGTCACCTAGTGCCCCGGAAATGGGCCTGTTGCACAAAACCGAGTCCGAAATGAGTCATAAATAGGTTCTGCAAGGCTTATCCAGGGGCCATCCGAAGCACATACCCCAAAACCAATCCATATATTAGGCTTATACGTGGGGCATTGTGATTGTAAGCATGCAAGGTCCTTAGGCCCCACTGGCTTCCATGTAGCCACAAACCCGCTTCGGCCCTGCTTTTCGGCCTCCTCCCTCTTCTTGCTGCCCCGTTGGTCCGCATTCACCTCCGCCATCGCAAGCAGGCAGCGGCCCTCAGACGGCTTGTCCGCCTTCTGCTTCTTCTCTGCCAGCCTCAGGTGTTGAACCTCACCCACTAACAAATGATGGCCATGGTTGTCCAGATTCCTGCAACGCTTCGTGGGGGCAGCGCCCCACTTACCGAACAGAGAGCCATTACAATCCTCACAAACGAAGCGATCGGGGTTGACACCCTCCTCATGCAATCAGGCACATGACCCACCTGCAGCTGTGGTTTTATAATGCCAAGACACCAAAGCACATCCAAGCATTCATGAAAGTAGGGAACGGTTCCAACATGCTGTGAGAAATCACACCTCAACCAACAAAAGCAAGTTGCCCAGAAGCATGTCCCGCGCCAGCTTGTCCGCATCCTTACGTCGGTTGATGCTAGTGAGCGCCCTGGTCAGCAACAGAAGGCACTCCATCTCCCCTGAAGGCCAGGGGAGGGGCTTGTGCTTCAAGCCAGTAAGGAACCCAAAGAGAAATCAGCCTGCTTCACCCCAAAAAAAAAGCCCTTCCGCAAAAGGAGATCCCTCTAGATATGAAAGCTTTTTGGGGGTTCCATTTTCATCTGCACCGGAGAAGGGGTCCATGGAGACAAATCATAGGTGTTTTTTTTGGCAAGCCGATGCTACTGCATCCGCGCTTCCAGAAGTGCATGGGGAGGGCGACAGTCACATCCCCAACAACCAGAAAAAGCTGGCGCCAGAGTGCTTGACCAACCTCTTTCGGGGTTCTTTGAACCCAAAAAACAAGCACTACATGAGTACAAGAGAATCCTCCAAATCAGCTAGCAAAGTCTGCTCTTTGCTGGCCTCAGCTGGTATCTGCCCTGCCTTCAGCATTACCCTCACTTCGAAAAAGGGAGGTGGCGTTGTGGGCTTCCGCCATGGCCTCATCTGGGTCATCCTGCACAATGCTGTAGGATGCAGAACTAATGGCCATCAGGAACGATGCCGTGCTTGGAGCATGCTGCCTTACAGGCGTGCGTTTATGATTTGGACAAATACAAAAACCGGCATGTTGCAGGAAAGAAAAATAGAGAAAAAGTGTTTCTTGCCCGTAGTATGGCATTTGCTTGGCATCCGACTTGCATTGTGCCTGGACGTGTCTTACCTCGCTCGGCTGTAGTTTGGGGGCCCCGCCCATCCTCAATCCAAATCGTGGCGCCTTTCACGTTTCACAGTTTCACGTGTTGTTGCTCATGGACTTTGGTATTTTCTGAGTACGCGTGCGGCAAGAGTGAGGCCTTTCCTTTATTTTCATGCCCATGCTCTGCACTTTCCGTCCTGCGCAGCTCGAAGAAGTTGCATGGCATTGCACTCACATCCACCCAGGTTGGTCACAAATAGGGAACATTCGGCACAATGGTCGATACAAATAAATAATTGAGATAAAATATCGTGTCCAGCGGTCCTTTGCCGCAAGTGCCCCAAGAACCGCCCGTCCCGTCCTCGTTCAGCGCGTGCAGGCCTTTTGCCAGCACCTCCCAAGCAGATCTCAGCTGTCCTGCGGCTTCCTCCGCCTTGCGCCTGTAGATGTCGAGCTGGTCAAGGCCCTGCCGGCTTTCGGCTCGAGTGCCCGCTCCAATACCATGAAGCCCCTGGCTCCCAGTCTCCTTTCTCTGAAACTGCGGAAACCAGGAACCACCAGCCCGCGTTAGGATCCTGGATTGATTTTGAACAACCCAGGAAGTTGAGGCCTGAAAGAAAGTAGCTCGCATATCGCACAACACTCCGCCAGAACATGAAAGTCAACCTTTTTCGCTCGCCTGACCTGCGCCATGCGACATGTCGAAACCTGCCTGATAGGGGTCAGGCGCCATGTTGAACCTCAAGCGCTGGCAAACGGCATTTGTTTTGCCGTGTGGAACTGGCCTGATTTTACCATTGAAAAAGAAGCGACATAAACAGCACAGAAGGGTCAAGGCGACCAAATCTTGGCTGGCTCGAGGTCACCCAAGCAGCAAGTAGGGACACAACCCCAGCTGACTTTGATAATCTGACACTTTGCAAAAATCACACAATATTTGCCGTACGAAAAACGGCGAGCTTGGAATGCAGCTCAGGTCCCAGCTCCGCGCGCAAGCTGCACACTGCGCGACTCACATGGCTCCACGCTGAGCCATTGAAGCTGCGGGAGCCATCAACGCATCAACGTGCCTGAGCCTACCTCCCCGCCTCCCAAAGAAAAACCCAGAATCCAACTGATCCAAGCTATGCGATCGCAAGCTTCTCAGCTTTGCCATCAACATGCCTGTTTGCGTTGATGGCGCCACTGGTACGCGTCCGTCCCTCAGGCTCAATGCAATGCAGCCGCAACTTGGAATCTGTGTGGCGTGCCTACACGGTCAAGTCACTGCCTAGCTGCCCAATTTGTAGACACCCCTGTGGGCTCACGTCGGCATTATGGAGAAACAACAGCATGACAAGTCGCCAGCCCAGAGGTGGCAGAGACATGGCTTTGTGTGCCTCAGCGGATCCGATCGAGATGAGTTCATCGATGCAGTGGAAGATGATCTTTGCTGCGAGCATCCTGCGGCACCCCGAGACCCCTGATTGTGGGGAAGTCTATTTGTGGCCCCACCCACCCACCCACCCACCCACCCACCCACCCACCCACCCACCCACCCACCCACCCACCCACCCACCCACCCACCCCCCACCCACCACCACCACCCACCACCACTCACCACCACCACCCACCACCACTCACCACCACGACCCACCACCACCACCACAACCACCACCACCACCACCACTACTACCCTAAATGTCCGTGAAACATGAACCATGTCCGTTAAGAGGTGCTTCCCCATCATGTTTGCCGTATGCAAACATTGGGACCAACCCAAATGGGTATATGAACGTCAAAATGGAGGGAACCCAAACAACGTGAGGTTGTCCTCTTGGCTTCCCATTAAACCAGTCTGAACATGGAACCCTCAAAACCCGAATGTCTGCCAACTGCACCTAGGATCCGGTGAACACAGCCAACTGCATCTCCGATCTGGGCATGCGGTCTCTTGGAAACACTTCCAGCAAGGGTTTGGCGCGGATGGCCCACAACCAAATCTTCTGCGCCATGGTCAAAACTCCTTATGTGAGCAAAGGTCTTGGCCCCTTTGTAGGACCATTGTCTTATTAATGGTTGTCCAAAACCCGCACCAAAGGGTCCATAACCCCACCGATTTGACCACGGCACCTGTGCAGTCTTCACTGCCTTTATCATCCCTTGTGTCTTTTTCATGATGGGGAGAGGGTTTCAAAGACCTCACATGGCCTGAGTCTAAGCAGGTGCGCGATGAGCTTCACGTTGCCCAGCATCTTCCTATGGCAGGCTACAGCTTTAGAGGCCCACAACAAGCTGGGTTGTCCAAAACGGGGTACCTAGGTACCGGATCCCTGATCCTACTCCGTGATCCGGAGTGGGATGCCAGTACAACAAGGAAAGCTCTACCTACTTTTCAACAATCCAGGTAAGCCTCTTGCAGAACTTGAATTCCCCCCAAGGGGTCAACGGCACACGTGTAACTCAAATGTCTTGCAGCTTTGTCTTGCCGCAGTCTCAAAGACCAACCGTGGTCCCACTGATCCATGTCACCTGCGACAGCCTGCATGGCATGCGCAACCACCTCAACTTGCAAGGGGGCAATATCTGCCAAGGTGCGTCTTGTACTTGACCAGCGTTTCGTATTGCTCCTCGTATTCCAAACCTTCGGTGCAGGGGCAGCTGGCCATAAGCAGATCGCACAAGTGTGAGAAGCATGCGGTCTCAACAAGAGCGTCCAGTCTCTCGGACTGATCCATGCTCCAAAGCCAGCCGAAGCTATGGTCTAGATGGTGCATTCCCTTTTACCACACAAGGGAATGGCGCCATCTACTTTCGCCCTGGTGTAACCCTGGAGCAACTCTTGGAAGCCGAGTGGCAAGCATCGATCTGCGGAGGTGCCAGGTGCACAGTGAAGGATTCCTGACATGGCGACCCCAGTTTGTGGATGGCTGGGCGTCACACCAACAAACAACTATCTATCTATTATCTATCCATCTGTCTGCCTATCCATCTACATGTCTGTCTATCCATCTATCTATCTGACCTTGCGAAAGCGCGCGGCCACAGACAACACACTATCCTGTCAGTGATGCTGAGGGTTACTGACGCGGTTCTTGCTGGTGATGCTGAGGATGCGGAAAGCAAAGCCACAAATTCAATTCTGCCACAATCAATTCAAGCCAAAATAGCAAGCCCGGAAAAGAACAAACGAGGAAAATCCAAAATCTGCTTTGCAGTGACAGTAAAGCATGACCTGTTGATCCAGGTGTGGACCGACTGACAAGAGAAATAGGAAACACAAATGACACTAGAGCTCTGGATCTCAAAATCGTGGACACAAAGAACAAAGAATGGCTTCCTACCAAGGCGACCTCAAACCACTGGAAAGAAGACACACCCAAAAGAAGACCCTTCCGTGCCTGGCACTGCTGCAGCAGAGCGCGCCGGAAGTTCACGTCGATGCCTCTTTGTTTCAGGTCCTGGGGCGTGAGGTCTGGCTGTGTGTTTACATGGGGAGGGTGGGGGGGAGTGTTGCTTGCCCTTTTTGAAGTTGGTTCTTGGGTCGGATGTTTGGGGCCCGCTTGCGTTGGCAAATGCCCGAATCTCTTATTCTGAGACAAACACCCCTCCCTTTCAGCGAGTGACTGCCCTTTGCAACGAGTTGGGCCCAGACATAATTCTGATACAAACCTTGCGCTGTCCCGTAACGTAGAAACAAACACCCCCATTTGCAATGCTCTCACCGAGCGGAACAATTGTTTCCTCTGGCCAACCTGACCAGGGAAAGCATGGCGCCAAAACGGCCAGTTGACAGTGGAAACATGTTCACATCCACATGGGGGAGTGCGCGTGGCTTAGCCGAAGCGCTGCTGGCCCGTGTCTCACTGAATCTGGATGAGTGTGTCTATTTGGGGGTGCACGTTTTCGGCGGTATCAAGGGGAAACAAAAGGAACACACATCTAAATTTTCTCGTAGCGGCCGCATCCAATCGAGCACAAAGATCTGCATAGAGCTCAATGAAGTTATGCTGCAGCGTGGCCTGCCGTCTGGAAGGTGCCCTGATGCCTTTTACACTTTGCCGCCTAACAAACAAGGTGGCCATTCCAAGGAAACACCACTGCAACAACAGTATCTGGCATATGGATTGAAAATTGGTTTTGAACACCCAGGCATATGGGAAAGAAGACAGTGCTGAACTTGCGGCGGCAGCTAACTTCTCGCTGGCTACGGCAGCCGGCAAGGCCGAGGCGCTGCGCGCAGGCACAGAGCGGAACCTCTTCAGACAACCCCGTCCACGACCCATGTCGCCTGGCCCAACTGCGCCTCAATCCCTTTCTCCGAAACCCGGGTGTTTCGATAGGATGGCATTCATGTCAAAAGGCACAACAATCTGTAATGTCGAGATCAGCATCGCTCACTTCTTTCTCAGGTCGTGCCGGAAATCTGTTTGAGAGCTCAAGTCCGCATGGGAAATTCCTGAAGGACAATCAACCCCCAACGCAGCTTTCAGGAATATTCCACGCCAGAAACCCCCCCAAACTGCGGGAATGTTCCGGCACGATCAGGAAGGAAGCGACCAGCCTAGCCTGCCATTGGCAGGGAAAAGCTGGGGCTTTGGCCGGGCGTGCCAAAGGTCTGGCAATGAAAGCGCGTTCGTCTTTCCATCGGGAAATCGAAAGGCGGAGGAGTATCGAAAGACCAACGACTCAACAACTTGTCGGCCACATCGTTCTGTTCTCCAGGAACGTGCGACACGTCTAGTTGCATGTGAAACTTGCACGCCATCAAGGAAAGCCGCTCCAGAAAGAAACACAAAGGTTTGGACGTGGTGAACAGGCGATTTGCGCCTGCCTCCGCGGCTGTGTTGTCACTCAAAGAAGGGACCACAGCCCCTGCAGCAGCGCCATCTGAGCCAGCGTCTCAGAACACGAAATATTTCGTTGCATCACGGGGTTGACGGGGACCAATGGTTCAAAGTCTCGGAAGACAAACTGTTCAGAAAACCAGACAAGTAAAACATCGCCATCGAAAGCAGCGCCTCCAATCTGCGTCATGGAAGAAGAAGCGCGAGCATCTGCCATAGCACGGCCCTGCCACACCGGCACAGGCCAAAGGTTGCACCTAGGCGGCTCAAACTCCAGCCATTCTTGATACAGGCGCAGAACACGCGCAGAGTCATCTGTAAGTGTCCAAATTCGGCGATCCGGCAAGCGGATCCTTTGCAATTCTTGCAGCGTGTCCACACGCTGGTGTCACCGAAAGTAGCTGCGACCCGACAAGAATGGCACTCGAAGGCGGCGGCTGTGTGAAAATCATCTTGTCGTTCAAGCAGTTGCAAAACTGAGGCCAGAATCCCGGGCCCACAGAAAAATGAGTGGCCGGAATTGCATGCACATGTGCGTACAAAGGGTGCAACCACGCACGGAGAAGGCCAAACATTTGGGTGACCCACATGGCCAGCCCTAGGAATCGCTCGAGCAACTGATTTGAAACTTTGGGCTTGGCAAGCAATTGGCTAATGAGCGACCCGGAGCTTCTCAAACTTCTCTACAGGCAGCTCAAGTTGAGCCGTAAAAATGTGCCACTTCCAGCCTGTCCAAGTGACCGTGCAGCCAAGCTCGCACTTTCGCCAAGAAATTGGAATTCTGAGAGCTTGGCAAGTCAGCGCCAAGAGCGTCACTGTCACCGCAAGATATCCAGCCTCTGGTAACCAAAATAATCATCTACGAACAAGAACATGCAATGTTTGAGCCAAGCAATGTGATGAAAAAGCCGAAGAATGAAGCTTCCCACTCTTGTCCACCAGTGTGCGCTGAATCCTGCCCCGAAGGGGCACACGTTATAGAAGAATAGCCTGTTGTCCAACTGGAGCCCAAGAAGTCCACGTTGGTCATGTCTCACAGGTATGCGCTTGTGCGCACTTTTGATGTCCAGCGAAAAGGCCCCCAAAGGGCGTCGCTCTTGTCTCAAGGGAAAACACCGCAGCACATCCCTTGGCCCAGGAAGGGTGGAGTGTTCTGGGATAACCAGGGAGGGGTTCAACCCGCAAATTGTGCTATCAACAACAAGCCTGCTCTCGAGTCATTGGCAAGTTGTCTTCTGCAGATTTCCAATTAACATGATGTACGCTGAGAGGAGGCTGCTCCGGCAAATGTTCTTGCTTCACAGGAAAGCAGTTCGAAGGCGGAATGTCGTTCTTGTAGCCTGTAGGGACGCCTTGCACCAGATGAAAAAACAGGGAATTGTCTGGGTCTTGAAGTAGCAAGCTCAAGGACTGCATGACGTGAAGGTAAAACGGCTGACCTGGCGGTATGGTGCAATCACATGGTAAATTTGCGCTTGCCAGTAGCTCTGAAAGAGAATTGCGAAAATCTTGCACTGTTTCCTCGGGAAGGGGCGCATCAGGGGAACCCCTTTGGAAAGAGTCCTGCGCCAAACAATACAAGCGTTGGCTAACAATACGCTGCATCCGCTCTGCACGAAGAGGGCGAAAAACATCCTGCGATGCTGCTGGAGGAGAGCTCCAATCCGGAGTGGAAAGGTAGCCACCCCCGTCGTGTCTAGCAAAAGGAGCTGCGTCAAAAGACTTGAGAGGCACCCTTTCTTCTGCTGCTTCAAAAGAAAGATCCTGCCCTGAGCACGCGCGAAACAAGGGAATGACTTGAGCTGCAAAGGACTCCGCAAGCTGTGGGGGATACTCGGCAGCTTGGCTTCTGAAAGCCCCTTCGTTCGAATGAGCTGCAGCACCATGCGCGCACACTCCTCCAAGCACTCGCAATGATGACAGAGATGTTGCCAACAACCATGTCCGAGCCCAGTCTCGGCCAAACAAACAAGCTGGGAGCAGTACACAGGATGCTGATGTTATCCGCAGAAAGGATTGGATTTCGGGCTGCAGCCAGGTGGTAGCGTTAGCGGGTTGTTCCAAGTGCCCGTGGCCACCGGCTTGAAAAGTGGCCTGAACGCAGGCTACTGACTGAATCGCTGCTCCAGAAAAACTTGCTGCGGCTGTGGTGAGACTGGTGGAAAGCCATATGACGGCAGCTGCGAGTCTTCGTAAGGCGGGCTGGCTGCGCAGTATGCCACGGCGCCTGACGCACACAGCCTGAGTAGTCTCTTGCAAATATGCCCATCCTGCAAATCGTGGGATGAGCATCGCAAAATGGCCCGTGAGCTTGCAAACACGGCTGGCCGTCCCCTTTGGGGTACGCGCATCCATGGTAATACTGACACTTGTCACCAAATGAGCAAGGCCCCGCTTGAAACTGCATGCAAAGTTGCCGACGCCGGCCATTGATCTCAGCCTCCGTAATCCAGGATCCGCCACCCTTCTGGGACAACCCTTTCCCTGATCGCCCGCTGGGCTTTGACTTGGACTTGCCAGCGCCTTTCCCGCCTTTGCTTGCCCCCTTCAAAGCAGGGGAAGCTTTTGCAGGGCGGGGGCGTGGCTGTAGTAAGGCAGCAAGGTCTGCGCGAATGAAAGTGATTTCATTGAGACTGTCATCCATGGACCAATTGCGCTCCATGATCAAATCGCACAAAATGCGCCACAAGTGCTTGTCGGCGGCTTGCGCTTCCAAAATGGTAGGGCACCTCAGCCCCATTTCGGGGTCCAGTCGGGTTGTCAAATGCTGCATGAACTTCATGGTGTATGCCTTGAGTGATGCCAAATGAGCTGCTTCAACCAACGCCCACGCAATTGCGTGCACCTCGAACAAGGACCTGACCATGTTGACGCCCATGCCCGCGTTAACAATCTCAATCTCAGGCGGATGATCCAGCAAAAGTTCGTGGAGGGTCAATGACTCCACCCTGGCCACCTTGGAAGAACGAGATGCGGAGTGTTCCTCATCTCTGGAGACGCTAAGCCTGTGCTTCCAAGGGACCCATCTGAAATCTTGCTTTTTTGACTGGTGATGGCACAACGAAAGCAATCTTGTTGATGTCGTCTCAGGTGTGAGAAGCTCAGAAGGGTAGCACTCGCTGAATTTCTTTTTCATGGCCTGGAGATGTGAGTTTGGGGGCAAAGGACTCGGTCGGTGCCGCTGGGGCCAGCGTCTGCTGCCCTGCTTGGCAGTTTTGCCACGCTAACCGAAGGCTGGCTGTGTCTCGCAAGGAAAGCACTTGGCCAGGAGCTAAGTCTGGCAAAACGGCATCCAGATCTTCTATGCTGGTAGCTGCAAGTGCGAATTGCTGCAAGGTCCATTCATCATCCAGAATGGACTGCCGGATCTCCGAACGGACGCCGGAAGATTGCAGGAGCTGCTCCAGACTGATTTCCGCTGAGCCAGGAAGGCTTATTGCGAGGCAAGGATGGCCCCTTTAATGCTGCAAACTTTGTAAACACGTAACCAAACTTGACAGCTTGACCATTTGACCTGGCGTTGCCAGAAACAAACAAATGCCCGGTTGATTGAATTGGGTGCTGCAACGCAACAAAAGCGAAAAAAGCGCGGATTGAAGGCCTGGACTGCGGTCAATTCATGGACTCCATGTGACTCTTTGACCAGTCAGGCTGGTCCACACGTCTTCCCCTCCTCAATCGCACCAAAGCCAAACCTAGAGGGGAGCCTCAAATTAGGTGGTGAGGGGATGGGGTGTCACAACAAGCCAACTCAAAGAGCCAAATCCTGACCAGCGCAAACTGCAACGCAATCCCCGCAAAATGAGTGGCTTGACTTGCGAAAACGGAACCCTGCTTTTGCGCGCATGAGATCTGCGGCTGAGTTGCTGCCTGCGCGGAGTTTGCATTTTTCTTGAGCACGCTTTGTCGTGTGAAACTCACACCCGGTTCCACAGTCTGCGGCATCCTTGATGCTGACATAGCCGAAATCTGGGGTCCATGTTTGACCACTCAACAATGGTCTCGGAGCTGCAAAACCACACGCAGGGCGCAAGGCAGAATCCAGCTCGCACTGCTCCGCTTCTTCTTTTGGAATCAAAATATGCGCTGTGCGTCTGTGACAGCCAACTTTGACAAATTCTGGCTGGGCTACGGTTTTTCGAGCCCTCTTGCGTGATGCTCGGCGTGCCGCTTCCGTAGAACTGTCAGAATCATCTGACGACGAATCATCTGAAGACGTGTCATCAGAAGAGCCATCTGAAGATGACAGGCTTGAGTCCAGAATTGGCTGCAAGCTTGCGGGCTGCTCAGCGTCTTGGGCGTCTGCAGCAACGCGCCAGTTGACAAGCCTAAACCTCAAAGCTGGAATGCTCTTCTGAAAACACTTGATCATGCCTGCGACTTCCGGGGGTTGGAGAGGCTGCTGTCCGCCCCTGCCTTGTGGAACGCAAGGGACCCAACCAGTTTGCACTGCCTGAATCAACTGCTCTTGAAAAACCAATTGTCCATGGACATCATCTCAAGAATAAAGATGCACGCTGGAGTTTTGAGCTTTGTGGTGCCCTTGAAGACGGCGCTGCTCATGGGTGACCGATCCTGGCCGGTTGTGGCAGAGCTGGCTTGCCAATGACAATAAAGTCGTTTTCATACCATGTGTGGTGTAAGACTTGCACTGCTCCCAGTCAGCCACGGGAAGCGGGTCCCATGGAATGCTCACATAACCGCGAAACCAATACAGCGCTTCCGGGTACGACATGGGCCTGAGTGGGAGGTCAAAAACAGCATCACCTGAAATGGAAATCGAAGAGAGCATGAAGTCACTATGCTCCCCCCCTGCTGCAAACACAAACTCATCCCAAACTGACAGGAATTTAAGCAGCCACGTGAAGCTGCCCGCTGACAGGAAACCTGAGGAAAGCGCGCCAAAGGGCTGGCCTCTGTTGGATGTTTTGTCTTCCAGCAGCTTCTCGCTGCAAATCTGCAAACCTGAGTCCTGTCCACGTCATGAAAAGAAAGCAGCCCAGAAGAATCACTTCACGCTGCGGGCACTTATTGTGCAGCACGCGATCAGAACTGTCCACAAGTTGAGCGGCAAACTCTCGCGGCGCTCGCACGGAAATGAGCTTTTCAGAAAAGAGGCCACCAGCGAGGAATGAAACACTTCCAGCGAAGAGATTTCTGCAAGACGTTGCAGCCATCTGGCTGCTTTAATCACCACTACGCCTGTAGAAACGGATGTGCAAGCTCTGCACGGCCCGCCGTCGGCTGTGGCCTGGCGCGCGAAGCAAGCGGGGCACGGCATGGCCAAAAGACAGGCACGCCAGCTAAGAACCGTTGAGCTAAAAATGGCTGCGGCAGAAGTGCATCCAGATAAGCTGCAACAACCCACCATTCCTCCCCCCAGAAGCCGGCCGACCTGCACCAAAGGCGCTGACGTGCGCATCGCCGGCGCGTCCGCGGCAAGCCAAGCACAGAGGGGCGGGAAACAGCCCCGCTCATCAAAAGAGAGGGGGCGTGGGCAAGGCACTGGCGTGGGCACAGCACCGACTCCCCCCGACAGCGGTGCAAGGGGAGGCCAGAATCCCGAGCCAAGTGGCCCAACAGGACACCTGCCAGCAAACCCAGCAGAAATGCGAAGCCGGGTGTGTAGTAGGAAGGCGCGCGGCCCGCGCAGACTAAGCCGCGGCCTGGCCGCAAGACGTTGGCAGCTGCGCGAAGCAGGGCGCCGCTTCCGACGGGAGCATGCGGCCCGATCCCACGAGGGCGCCATGGAGGCAGGGCCTCGGAGCAAAGCGGTTCTGAGCGACACTTCTTGAGCCACTACGAAACCCTTGATTTGGATGCGAAACAATTCGACCATGCCCAGAGGCGTCAAGAGATGCCGCGGGCTGTCAGGCAAGGCGAAGCCAAATCAAAGATGCCAGCACGGCAATTGGCAATTCAAGGCTCGTCACTGCCCAACCAGTCTGGCCTTTGCAATTGAAGAACAGGCTGTTCAAACTGGGCTTGTTTACGTGCTGATTCTCGTGGCGACTCACCATGAAAGGAAAACACGCCCTCCCCGTGCCTTCTTGAAGATGTCCCGCGCAATGACCTGCAATCACAACCCCATGCCGATACTACAGGGGCCTTCCCAAAAAAGAAGAAAGGTCTGGGACGGCCCCCTTCCAACACTCACCCCAAGTTTTTGCTGTGGCTCTGCTGGGCAAGCCACCTGTCCCCGTGGGGATGATCGGACATTGCGACAGGGCAAGAGATCAATCACGTCAGGTGAACAGGTGATCGATGTGGGTGATCAATGAGCAATCCATAGAAACCAATGGTCACCTAGCATTGTGCTTGTCTTTGCCACTCCATTTGGATTCCGAGGCCGATTACAACCCAGCCATCCCCGTTTGATTGAAATTCCACCACCTGCCCGTTTGTCGCTGCCTTGGTGGTTGTCCACAAGACAGTTTGCTACTGTTGCAGCTCCCACAACAGATCAAGGAGTACTTTAAAAGAGACCTGAAAAGGGGGGCTGCTTCGAATAGTTGAGTTGAGCCCCCCCCCTGAAAATGGGATCCTTGCCTCTTGAGAAAAATGCAAAGAAAACCCAGACCCCCCCCTCAAAAAAAAAAAGGAAAAACCTGCGCTTCCTAAAAGCCCAATGCCCCGCGGCCCAACGAGCGAGCAACGAGGCCCTGGCCTCCACCGTCTCGAGGCGAGTCTGCTGGTCTTCGACCGTGCAGTACGTCAAAAGATCCGCGTAGAGCTTGTCGAACTTCTCCCAGGTCAGCCTGGCAAACGGTGACCCCAAGTCCAAACCACTTAAGTGGTTTGGATTGGCTTTTAGAAGTTGAGGGGTTCGGAAGGGTTCCGGATGTCTGCCTTGTTTCCAAAGAAAGTTAGGGTTAACTGACTGAGTCGGCGCAAAGGGATGTAGAGGCTGCCACCACTGAACGCCTGGAAGTGCGTGTGATTGACGTTCGGCCAGTGAGAAGCCGGAAAAGCGCGTGGTGTCTGCGCATTCTTTTGCTTGCAGTCATATGAGTGTCTCAAAATACAGCCTGTTCCCGAACAAAAGACACCACAAAAGAGGATCCCCAGTAGCTCGGCTGCTGCACGTGCATCACCCCCGGCAAACTTGCCAAGCAGCTTGTTCAGGATTGACTTCACCTGCACAAAGGGTGGCAAAGCAAAGCAAGCAATTCAGAATCTTGCACCACACCGACCACGAGGATCTCGAGAAACTTAGGTCAACCCCTCCAAAAGGGTACCCTCAAGAAAGACCAACTCGAAAACCAAGAACCCTTCAACCTTTTGAGCCAACCAGCAAGGATCACGCACTTGCCTGCCGTTCCACCTTTTGCATTTCGCTGATGTCTTTGACTGCGCTCAAGGGCGACGCGGGCACACTCGCCTTCCTGGGGCAAAAGAAGAGCGGGTGTGTGGGAAAGGGCGGTCTGGCGAACCCTTCAACCCGGAAAGCTCAACCAGCTTAGAATGCCTGCCTGGTGCCTACATGTGGCTGTCCACCAACTTGATGAACGATGTTCATGAAAAGGCTGAACATGTGCTCTCTTCATATCGCCCAAGGCAGGGGTGCCAATTGAGCCAGCTTTGTTTCCAGGGGTCGCCAGCATTTCTGAGCCACTCCCTGAAAACCTCAAAATCGGCAACCCTCTCTTGGTGCTTGTCCGTCTGACAAAGATCCCAGGATTCACATCACACCCCTGTAAGTCCTTCCCCTTTCATTGAGGATGTTCCAACCATTGAAGCATTCCGTGTGTGTCATCAAAATACCTGCAAACTGGATGCATTCTATAGGGTGCCGTAAAATGCAACCTCCCATTCCATTGAGATCCTTTTCGTTGGGTACTAGGTACAGGACCTGTTCGGGCTGCGTGCGGCCCAGCTGATCCCAGCGGCTTCAGGGGCGCAGAGGCGGTCCGCGTCAGGCGCCCGCTGGAACTCCGCCAGTCGGACTCATCGGAGCGCGCCTGGCGGGCTGGGCCGGCGCGGGCTCGGCGCAGGCGAGCCCAGTGGGTGTGGCTGGTGACAACTTGGAGGCGCCAAATGGACGACTACCTTGGCAAATGGTTTGAGGCAACGCCATCTGATGGTTTTTGCAAACCACTGGAACTTGCGCCTAGGTGCAACCAAGTTTATCTAGGAAGGACACTGCCGGGAAAAAGAGCTTGTTCAAATCACTTCGTGTACTTGAAGTACCCGCTCGTTTTTGTGACCCAGCCTGCTTCATCCTTTGCCCAACCTAAAGCTGTTCTATTTCCCAAGTCAACCCTTGCTTGAGGGCGTCTTCGGGTGGTTCAGAAGAAGATGGCAGAACCCCGCTCGATTTTGCTGATTTGCTGAACGGGTTAGCTGCAACCACTGTTTAACTCCCAGCGGGGCTGAAACGCAGGGGTTCTGTGTTTGAATCCTGGACTCAAGTCCTCCTAAATTGCATCAGACTTTTACGCCGACAGGTCGCCCTCCATTGAATTGGCGAACAAAGGTGGGCTGATGGGATAATGAAAGAAGCCCGAAAAACACAGAAGGCTTCTCTCTGTCGAATTCTCGGAAAGATTTTTCTCATATTGGACAACTATATATGCCAAAACCTCCATGGCCAAATGTCAATGATAAACACTGTGGTTCTTCCCCATTGCCAAATGCTCCTGCTTGTCTCCCTGTGCCACTGTGTCTCCCCGTCTCTCCGGTCAGACGCTGTGAGTTTGGGTTTTACCTTGCCTGCTGGGCATGCCAGTTGGCATTGTTCCTGCTTGCAGCGGAGAAATGACATCTCCGGCAACCCCAATTTGCGTTCTGCTTCTTCAATGCGAGTTTTGGGGGCTTGCTGCTAGGCACGCCACGCCTGGAGATGGCCACGCCCTGTTGCTGCAAGGGGCTGTCGTTCCCGTCGTTTTCTTGCTGTTTGGGGTTGAGGCTGGTTTAGTGTTTCTTGGTAAACATGCAAATCGTGGCAATAGGGGTAAACATTGATAATGATACAACAAACGAGCATGCTTGTCTGACAAAGCCTCACAAGGCGCGCTAAAAGTTTTTGTGTTGAAAATCTTGATTGCCATGCGCCCTCGGCGTGACCGACCAAAATTAAGTGATGCGGCGCCTTTGGCGGGCTCTGCTCCGGTTCTTTGGGACTGGAAGAACCTCGGCAAGGTGCGGCGGCAGCTCCAACAAAGGCTTCGCACGAATAAAGGGCGCAACGTGAGCCACAAAACATGCGAAGGTCAGCGTAAAGGACACGGGGAAAGTAGAGTAGTGGGTGCCCTGGTTTTCATGTCCCTGTCCAGTGAACTAGTGGCTACTGGAGATGGTGGCCAAACATGGCCAAACTTCAGTAGCGCAAGATATGAGGAAGACTGAGACTGACAAACATTGCCAAAAACTCGTAAACAATTGCATCATGCCCAAGCCTGAGAGTGAGGATCTCTGAGTGTCGTGGAGAAATTGCCTGAATGCCAAATCCTTATAAGGCAGAATGCGCGCCGGCGCTTGGAACCAATCTAAGGATCTGATCCAGCAACCAAAAAATATACGCAGGAAGTTGTGACGAACCAACTGTGTTTGGTGGGTCTTTGGCTGATCTCCTGCTGCCGTAGCTGCGGTGTTTTTCACTGGGTTTCCCTTTGAATGGTGTTTGGTTTCCCTTTCAATCAACCGAAGCATAGCCTCAAACAGACATCCCCAGCTCAGCATCTCGGGCCCCTACGCGTAGTGCGCCCCAGCTGTGACGCCGGCAGGGACTGCGAGCGCTTAAGCTCTGCATCCTCCTGCGGCTCGCCTGACCCCAAGGTGTTGAACCACCAAGCACAAGTGGAGAGACGAGTGTGGATACAATTGGGAGACAAGTGGGGAGAAACGTGGGAAAACAACTGGGAGACAAGCTGCGACAAGGCCTGAGACGGCAAGCACAAGCAGCGAGGGGAGACAAGTGGGGTAAAGGCCGGGAGACAAGCGGGGGAGACAAGACGTGACAGAGATTTAGTGGGGAGACAGCTGCAACCAAGTCCGAGTCATCAAGCACAAGCTGCGAGACAAGTGGGGGGGGAGTAAGGTTTGAAAGTTTAGGTTTTGGGCGGGGTTTTGGCTTCGGGTCTTTGGGGCTTAGGTTTGGTGCTGGTTTGGTTTAGCTTTAGAGTCCTTAGGGCTTAGCCTTAGAGCTTAGGCTAAGATTCAAAGACTTTGAACGTAGAAATTGTCAAACACAACACGAGTTTGACTCTCAATCCCAGACTGCCAAGTGCCAGCTTGAACAGTTCGACGACCTAAGAAAGCGAGCTATGCGAGAGTGGGCTCGTCATGGCTCGTCGACCTGGGTGTCAACCCCAACTCGACCTCAAGCCACCGCGCGACTGGCGGGAAGATCAAACCCGAGCTCGCCAATGCCCACGCAAAACGCCGGCCACAAACGAAGCGGAAATTCAGAAAGCAGGCGCAACCAAACCCGACAACGGAGTGTGCAAACCGCAACGCCAAGATCCAGGCCGGACGAAGTTCAAGCCGGGCTGCAGCTGGCTGCCGGCAGCGATGTGGGCTTCAACCAAACAGCGATTTCAAAAGGAAGGCCGGCAGCCCCGTCTATATTCGAGCTGAACGTTTTCTGCGAGCGACGGACGATGCGGCAAAGCGAGGCCCGAGCGGGCAGGAGAAGGCGGTGCAGCTTCAGCAATTGAATCAAGTGCTTCTGGACTGTTTGGGAGAAAAAAACGGTCTGAGCAACGCGACAGGCTTCTTAGGGCCAAGCAACAAGCGGCGCGCCCAGGCGAGCAGGGCGCTTGACAGAGAAGAGGACCAAGCGATGAAACAGATGCGACGCTGAGCGGCCGCCGCGAAGCAAGTAGAGATTTTGATAGACAGTTTAGTAGGAAATGTGCCAGGTTGAAAATTGGGCTTCGTGCGAGCGCTGCGTGAGAAGCGTTTTAGAGGAAGCAATCGCCACAGCTTGGCAACGGCTGAAGGCTCGCAGCTCTAGCTTCAAGAAAACGAGTGCCGCGACACAGAGGGTTGGTCGAGCAAATTGAAAACCACTGGTTTTGGAAGGTCCCCCAGCCCAACACGTTGTTCGACCAATTCTTAAATGTACACCTACAGGCTAAATCAGAGTTCAAGGTTTGGGGGTTGTTAGGGTGTAGGTTTAAGGTCTTCAGCGTTTCGGCTCAGCTTCACATCTTCTTAACAACCGACCCTGCGCAGGCCAGGGCAGTTCACGTCACATTTGACCCAGCGTGCTCAAGGTCAATTGAAGGAGGGCCAAACGCGAACGTTCTGCTGGACGCCAAGTCTGACCTTGGAGTTTAAATGCGAATTTGGCGCTTCAATGCGTGGGCGCGAGAAGGTTTCAGGTGTCCGCCTAAAGGGTGGACACTGACTGAAACTACTTTGGGCGCAGACCGGGCCTGCCAGCTCCTTTGCCGGAGAGCTCGCCTGAGCACCAGCAGCGGATTTGTGTGGGGGAGGGAGTGGCACACTGAAGAGAGCCGCATCCAGGCTCCAGTTGCTCAGGCAAAAATGCAAAAAGCCAAAAATTGAACTTGCAAGCTGTTGGTGACACAAAAGCTTTGGAACTCAAGCAGTTGGAACCTACCATGACGGTTGATTGCAATGACAAACCCTTTTCAAGCTCAAGCTGCAAACCTTTCAGGGGCTTGAAGGGTTGCAAGCAAACCCAAAAGGGGCTGCTATTGCAAACCCTATGGGGGTGAGCCGCATCCGTGAGCCCCGGGATGGAAGCAATCAGTTGCCAAATGTGGCAGCATGCTGCTGAGGATGATGCTGAGGATGATGGTGATATTCCCCCGGGCTCTTTGAGCCGAGCTTCCGGAGACGCGCAGGAGGTTGACCGTGGAAGCTTCAAGTCCTCGAGAAAAAAACGGCATGCGGGGCTGCGAAAGACCTCACGTCAATTTCGATGTCAGACACAAGCCCTATTGTTTTGTTTACTCTTATCATTTCCCACGGGCTTCACTCTGCAGCGCAAGTGTAGCGCACGCAAAGCACAGTTCCGCAGCTGCGGCTCTTCGCTCGCAACTTTGAAGTCAACGTGTAGCACCCGCAACTTTGTCGCGCAAGTGTAGCGCGCAAGGTAAACGCTCCGGCTCGGAAATCGCAACTTGTAGCACAAGCGAGTACGCGAATTACTCTGCTGTGAGATCGCAACTCTGTAGCGCAAGTGTAGCACGCGAAGCACACGTCCGCAGCTCCAGCTCGGAAATCGCAACTTTGCAGCGCAAGTGCCATCGCCAAGGGTCGCCCCCTCTACATGAAAACCCAAACAAATCGTGCTCCTCTTCTTTGCAAGGCCATGACCTACACGCAATGACGGAACCGTAGTTACTTCGCATTTCAATGCAATTCAGCAATGCCAGATTGTCCCACAAGAGTATTCCACATCTTCGCGACTCTGCCTCCCTTACTGCAGAAATCATTCCATGACGCGAAGTACACTTCCGCAGCTCCAGCTCCGCAATCGCAAATTCGTATTGCGAGTGTCGTGCGCACTAAGTACACTTCGGCAGCTCCACTTCGTAATTCGCAACTTTGTGCACAAGTGTGGGACGTGAAGAACACTGGAGCTGCGGACGTGCACTTTGCGTGCTACATTTGCGCTGCAAAGCTGCGAGATCCGAGCTGGAGCTGCGGAAGCTTGGACAGCGCAGCCTTGTGCACGTGAAGCACAAGAAGTACACTTCCGCACAACTCTCACATCTCAACTTTGATAGTTCCAAGCAGCGTACATAAAGTACCCTTACGCAGTTCCAGCTCGAAAATCGCAATGTTGTAATGCAAGTGCAGTATGCGCGGTACACTTCCGCAGCTCCAGCTAAAGCACACTTCCACATCTCAAAAATCGTGATATTTCACAATGCCAAGTTGCTGTTTCTGAAAGTCAAGAAAACTGTCAGAGCCATACCAAGCAGGAGTCAAGGGAAGGTTACGTCCTTAATGGTCCCCCAAGAGTCACTACACTACTGGGCTGCGTCTGAACACAAACACATCGCACCCGCGGTCCTCGCGCGAGATCGGCTTCTCTCTGCGATCCTGGAATCTGAAACCACTGGCCCTTTTTTGACGCAGCCGCCTGCCCAAAAAAGTCTCCCACGCTGGGCGTGTTCAATTTGCTCGGACGCTTGCCTTCCAAGCGCCTATGCTCAAGGCCTGTAAAGCGCCCAGTCAACGCATTTGTGTGCAGTGCCCGCACGCCTTTCTGCTCTCTATCAGCATGCCAGCCAGGGCAAACCTTAGCATGCACACCCTGTTCGGCTTCCACCCAAAGTATTTATGGCAAGCGCAGCCATGCCAGTCTTGGCTTGGGTAGCGTGCATCACCATCATGGTGCACACTGGAGGTGTTTCTCGCATGCCCCGCATCTAGTGTTGCCAAAGGGCCGCAACTCAAAATTTCACCCATTGGAGCCGACAGCTTGCAGCTGCAAGCTGAAAAGTGAACGCGGGAAGACACTTGTGCAAACAAGCCACATGGATCCCGCGAAAGTCGCTCCAATGCACTTCACCAACCTCAGCGGCTCTCTCGGCTTTCAAAGAAGAAACTCTTGCTCCTATTGAGTAACAATCACGTTGCATGCGCAAGCAATCTGCACAGTTCGCGCACATTTGGACTCAACCGGACATGCTAACTGATTGACACTCACTACAAGAGCCCACCAAGTCAAAAACGCACACTGATGCTGATGCTTGGCAATTGGATCGCAGTGGGGTTTTGTTTGACCCGGGGGGAGGCCATCGAGATCTGCGTCTACCTTGGGCCGAGTTTCGAAGAGTGCGGCGAAATTCCAGGTGGAAGCATGGACTCAAACCAGTCCTCACCGGTGTGTCCTTGCAGGCAGCTGCGAGCCTTCAAAGCCTTGCCTTGACTTGACTTCCTGCACGGACACCCTGATCCTAAGCCAATGCACGCACACAATGTAATCCTCCAAGACGTACACAGGAGCCCTTGAGACCACGCCTGAGCATGCTTCCGTCACCTCGCCACTTGCCGAGCAGTCTGCCCGGCAAATTGCCTGGGTTCGGAGTCGGCGTGTTCACATACGAGTCACAATCTGTTGACATGTGGCTCTTGCATCTTGGACATGCAAATGTTTTCAGCAATGCCATATGTTGCGGTTATCTTGTGCAACAACTCAGCGATATCATACACCTCTCTATCCGGCTGCCAGAAACAATTTGAGCAGCGTGGTATGATCCCTGCCAGCTGATCCCACATGCACGTCAGAACCTCCAAAATGTCTAGCGATTCCGGTCACCCCTCCCTTTGGCGCCCCAACGGCCAGTGCCAATGTGGCCAGCTTGCAACGCATCACCTCGGCAACGAGAGCATCTAGGGCTTGTCTTGCCGAGGTCACGGGACCCCTCCTAGGCCAAAATGCACTGCTCCCCCGGCTTGATTCGCAAACCCGGAGCATGGAAGATTTTGCGGGCTCATGCTTTCGCATGAGTCCTTTTGCTGCGGCGCAAACCACGCTAGCAAGATAGGCTGTGTCAGAAGGCCGACATCCGAAGGGGACAGCTGCGTACGGCCATCAAACCACGTTCTACAAATTGTTTGCCCTTAGGCTTAACTCATGCAGAAACCTAGCCACAAAAACTTAGAGCACGGAAACTGAACAGCGCCAAGTCCCTGTGACAAACAATCTTCCTGCCATGCGGTGCGGTCCTTCTATGCGGGCTGACTGCAGCTTAGCAACTCTATCCCTTGGGTTTAGCTGGTGACATGAATTTTCAGCGCGAGCAATTGGATGCGCTCTCGCACATCAAAACCGTCGATGAGCGCCCGTCACTCCCTAGTCTTGCGCATTTCGGCTCACACCTGTTGGAGAGAAGGGAAAATAGTCTGAGCCAGCACAAATCCTGACGCACGCGGTTCACGGAACACCTGATTTACATATACTTTCCAAGCTGGACTTCAGTTCAAAGTCCCAAACAGCGGAATCCCTGGACTGACTTGGTCAGGGCACCCTTGCACGCGCTTCCGAAAATAATGCTGGCCAGGAAACGCTCCACGCTTGTTCAAACCGACCGTTCCTCTACGGTCAGACTTGATTTGAGCCAAGAATGCGCAGGCCACGCGGAGTGTAGCAGACATATCCCTCAACCCGCTACCAGAAAACATCGCAAGCCCCAAGCTCTTGAAACACAACAAGTTTCAAGTCTTCCTCAAGCGCACGACAGACTGCGAGCCATGTTGTCAATTGCGTACGTCTCTTAAATTAATTGGTTGGCCTTCTTCTCTCTAGCCCTCTCCCAGCTGCCTCGAGCGACGGCAGATTTCATGGACAATACACTTGGGAGTTTCTCAAATCGGCTTCTGACCCCTTTTGGCCGGCTGAATTGAATTGAAACCTCAGAGAGCAACCAGCTGAATTTAAGGTACCAATTGTGCGAGAGAGTTTTTCTTGGGGAAGGGGGGCATCGCCGTGAGCAAACCAAGGACTTGAGATGCACCAACTCTGCGTCCAGGCGGCAGCTGCAGCGGCAGGGTCCTACAGGCTTCCGGTGCGCTCACTCGATTGTGTTTTTTCCTCACTGAACAGGATCCCGTATGGGCATATGTCAGAATTGGGGTTTGCAGCCCCAAAACTGTGGTTTTGCTTTTGAAGCCCCCTGAAAACAACCAGCAGGGAACCCGCAAAAGAGACCAATATGTCCATTTGGAAACTATAAAGGAAACTCACTTTCGCTTGGCCCAAACAAGGTGGTGTTGGAAACACTGCCCCACTCAGACCCAGGAAAAATCACAAACTGAGTTGGAGCCACAGCTGGAATGGCCATAGAAACCTTCTCGTGGCCAGCGCCTGCCAATGGCTAATTGGCTCCCCTTGCTTTGGCTCTGAATCTGTATTGGGGAAAACTGGCTTTGAACTTTCCTTGATACTGGCGTGGGTAGGTATTGTGTACAAACATAGTATATATATATATATGGTACCCCCCCCCCCCCAGGGACCTACCTTTTTGATGAATTCACTGGTATTTGCATTGTTTTCTACCCTTTTTTGGGCTTTGGGGAGAGCAATGAGAAAGAAGCATTTCCAAGGACGTTCTGGAAGCTTCAAACCGATTTAAACCGATTTAATTTAAATCGGGCATGGATTCAAGATTCAAGATTCAAGAGTCCAGGCCAAACTTTTCCAGGGATTCTTGAATCCAGGCGTCGATTTAAACCGATTTAAACCGATTTAACTTAAATCGGGCATGGATTCAAGATTCAAGATTCAAGAATCCAGGCCAAACTTTTCCAGGGAGTCTTGAATCTTGAATCTTGAATCCATGCCCGATTTAAGTTAAATCGGTTTAAATCGGTTTAAATCGACGCCTGGATTCAAGAATTCCTGGAAAAGTTTGGCCTGGACTCTTGAATCTTGAATCTTGAATCCATGCCCGATTTAAACTTAAATCGATTTAAATCGGTTTAAATCGAGACCCAAATTCAACATTGCACTTTGCGCGGCTGTACTTTAGCACAGTGTTGTGCAAGCATCCAAGTCCTGATTATTCATTCAATCTGTTTCAATCTAGGCCCACATTCAAGATTGCAGGTCAAAGTTTTCTAGGGAATCTTGAACCCAGGCTCAACTGAAATTTCAGTCGGTCTCAATGGGTTTCACTCGGGCCTGGACTCGCGTTTGCAAAGAAGACTTGTCTAGATAATATGGGTTATTTCCTTATCAAATCCTGTTAAAGCTCATATTGAATTGCAAGTATATATTGGGAAAGGAACTCTATTTAAACTCACAATCTCAATTTGATTACCGTTGGGATTCTGACCAAATATTTCCGTATTGAGTCCCAATTAAATCCTCTTCAAGTTCAAATGAGCATTTAGAGAGCGTTCGTTGGTGGAGATGTGAATTAAGTATGAACAACGCTACACAACACTGTGTTTTACGGTGTTTTCTGACCAAGGTAGTGTTAGGACTAGTGAAAGACACAAGTTTGGGACCTTTGGATTCTTTCCTTATGCATTCCACTTAGTATGTTTTATCAAATTCAACCTTATTTCTGATTGAAATTCAATGGAGCTTAAGAAGGACATACTCCAGCCAAAATTGCGATTTAGATTCGAACTTAAATATTGACTGTTTATGTCAAATTAAATGGTACAAACTATTTTCTGTCCAATAGACCATTGTACATTGAAATTCAATCACTTTCAGAACTAGCTAGTCCTAGTTTGGTCCTAGTCCTAGTTGGGAGATCCTTGGTTATAGGCCAAGTATGGTCCCAGCTTACTGAAATACATAGAACGTATAAAGGACATTACAAAGGAAGTTCGTTGTGAATTGTAGTTAATATATTAGTCAAGTTCTATGCAACTTCTAGCTGAACAATTGAATTTGAAATAAGGAGAATATCCAGTCAGAATTTACATGTTAGGACCACATATTAAACAGGACTTTTTTCCCACCAGAATGTAATACTTGACATCCAAATACTATAAGAAGTAGAATTAAATGGTCTAGTCCTAGTTTGGTCCTAGATGAGAGATCCTTGGTTCTAGTGTTAGGTTGCTCCCTAGTTTACTGCAACAATTAGAACATATACAGGACATTGCAGAGGAAGTTATACTTGAAGTTCATTTTTTGTAAGAATCTGAGGTGGGTCGTCCAGTCCTAGTTTGGTCCTAGTCCCAGTTCAGAGATCCTGGGTTCTAGTCTCATTTGGTCCTGGTCCTAGTTGAGAGATCGTTCCTCCCAGTCCTAGATGGGCAATTCATGCACTGGAGAGGCAGCCAAAAGGTAGGTCCCTGGGGGGGTAGCATATATATATATATGTGTGTGTGTGTGCGTGTGTGTGCGCAGTAGTTGTCAAGCCATTGCTTGGTATGCAGCAAAGTGGCCAAAGGGCACCCTTGTGAGTCGATCAAGTTTTGCAGACCCCCCGCCCCCAGCGCACCATGCAAGCACCATCTTGAGCTTTCGCCTTTGCACTCCGGCAAATGCACCTCGTGACACCCTCAGAGCCTCAATGGCATTGAAACTGCACGTACGGGCGCGCTACAACTTCGAGTCAACAAATCAAGAAAACACGTCCGCTGCGTCTTGTCATCTGCGTCATCCAGCACTCCCGAAAATTGGCCAGCCCTCACTCCTGCGGACTTGTTAAACCAAAACTTGGAGAACTGCCGCCGGCTCACGGCGGATAGAAAATTCCGGCGCTGGCTCCTGCAAGGAAGCCCAGGCGAGCCCCAAACTCCACTGACTTGTTCTGCCAAAAAAAAATAGGCTTGTGTGACCTGACTGCTGAGCGGAAATTTTGGAAGGGTGTGGAAGTCAAATGTCCGATTGCGGGAAGTCGCACCAAGTTTCCCATGTCCAGAGGCAAAGACTCAAGGAAGGGCAAATCAACCTTCCGGCCTTCATAACCTACCACTCTGGCCCTTACACACAAGTACCATCCAGAAAACACAAACTCAGGCAGCTTGCAACTGCGACTCGAAATGGCAAACCCCTTTTGGACTGGTTTGAGAAGGAAACTCAGAGGAAACCAGCTCCAAGGAGCGGTGCCCATTTCGAAGCACCCAGCTCTTTACTTTCCCTTGCGGACTACCATGGAACAGCCCCCTTTTTGGGCTCCGTGTGACTTTCAAGGAGTAAAACCTCAGCGCATTTGGAACAGCATGCAGGCTCACGTCCTACTTTTGCAGGACCATCTGGTTGAAGCGTGTCACCTGACGCGGCTCATGGCTCGGGAGGTAGAATGCCAGCACTTGACATTTGGGTAGTCAGTGGAAATGGACTCGTGAATTGACCGCATGAGACCTTCCAAAGGTGTGGCCCTCAGAAGCGGAACGCATTCAAGGCACAAGCTCATGGGTGGCAACTGCATTGAGCTGCTGGAAATCGCCCTTGATGAACATCATGCAAACATGGCTGATTCATGCAACCACCACCGATGTTTGCGGGTGTTCCTCATGCAAACCCGCGACCATTGATTTGGTGCTCGGGCGCAAAGCTCACCTCGCCCCGGCATTGGCCAACGATCCACTGCGAATGAGCAAGTTGGTCGGTGTCCGGAACCCCTTGGAACCCTGTGGAGCCTTCAAGGCTGCTCCGACCACTCCGCAGCATAAGCAAAGACCTTGTCGGGGAAACAGGTTCTTATGCTGATTAGCAGGCGTCGTACAGATTCACATGGAATGCTAGACTCCAAATACCGGCTTGGGAGCAACCGCGATTCTGGGTTTGTTGCTGAGCGAGGGAACCAAAACTAACAATAACAGCGGACACCCCAAAACGGGATGCGCCTCACCACCATCGCCAGGGGCACTTGCAAACTTCTGATCAAGGGGATCGGATCAAAGGGTTCGGATCGAACGGGCCCCGATTTTCTCTCCCAACCTCATCTGCAGAGCCGATGGCCAAAGCTGTGCGCTGGTCGACCGCCTCGATCTTCCTTGGGCAGAAGAGGTCGCTCTTTGGCTTCAATCATCCCCTCTTGCGGGGCTTAGCTCGACCGAGGGTTCTCTTCGAAGGGTAGTTGTTTGATCTAAAAAAAAACTGGAACTTTGGATTGGTTGCCGTGAAGTGGGCCACATTGACATGTCAGGGGTTAACATTGCCCCCCCCATGTCTCTTGCCCATTGAACCTGGCTGGACCTGGCTTTCTTCACACCCCAGAAATTCGACACATGGCACACGCGCAAGAAGACTCGCAACGCGCGTGCACGCCAACCAGATAAAAGCGACGTGCAGGACGCCCGTTTTGAGGCCACGTTAAAGGGTAACCCAAGGCAAAATCAGGTCCCCATTTTTGGTCACGCCCAGTTAAACATGTCCGTTTCTGTGCCTCTGTTCTGTCCAAGTGGCATGTCCAGGACGCTCTGCCCTGAGACCTTGAGTTGAATTTCTATCATCGGTTGAGGGTCAAAACAACGAGAAGGTTGTTCACAAAGAGAGTGTCCAAAATCTAATTTGGCATGTCTCACAATCGACCAAAAAACAACGAGGGAACTAGGAACCAAAAGCGAAAACCGAAAGGGATTAAGGTTGACGTCAAAAGATGCCACACAACTTGTCTCCCAGAGACCAAAAAAGAAATAAGGGAAAAAGACGAAAAGGGAAACCAAAAGGGCTAGGATAGCATCAAAAATGGCACACACTCTTCATCTCGTACAAGTCCTGAAGGGAAACCACCCTCAAACATAATTTTGCAAACGCTGCCTTTTCACCAGCTGCGTTAGACAAGCATGCTCCACCCCCCCTCCCCCGAGCTTGTGAACGGGTTCGTCGAAATGACATACCTAGAAAACGGAAAAAGTATGCCCCAAACAAACCAAGAATGTCGAAATTGCAAGTCTAAACAGGCGGCAGAAGGGAAATCATGGGAATGAGCCACAAAGGGACTCCAACTCAAACAGGGCTAATTCTTTGCATGAGATAGCCGTCCAGGAAGATCCGAAATTCCAAGCATACCAGTCAAAGTTGCCCAATGGTTGGACCTTCCGGAGCACAAGCGATCAGCTCAAGTTTCTGGTTTCTGCCTTTCACGTCTGGAGGAAAAATTGCGCCAGCTAGCAATGATTGAGTGGGAGCTTCGACCTGCGCGCGTGCAAGAAAACATTTGCCTGGCGCTTGCTTTGCACAGATTCTTGGCAGGGTTGTTTTGAAGATGAAGGCTCAGAATGGGAACCCCAGATTCAGGATTCCCAGTAAACGGGTCAGTAAGATAGAATGCCTAAGCCCTGCTACGAAAATGAGTAGCACAAGACTGCGAGCAAACTGTTGCACCAAAAAGGGAAACAAGTTGGCACCCACAACCCATCAAACCCAGCCACCCCGTCGCTGGTCTTGCCCCCGGCCATCTCCACCAGCCGCCCAAAGGGTGCCGCCTCAAAGGCCAGCCGCAGCTTCGCCGGTGACACCTCCAGCGGCAATCGCGACGACGAGTTCGCCGAGGGGATTGAGAACTGGAATCTCCGAATTTCCATCAAATCCATGTGTTGAACGTGTTCTTCCAACCAACGAATTGCGCCACTCCTAAGCCAACCGAAAAGACTGTGGATTGCTGTGCGTGTGTGTGAAGCAAGTCTTGCAGCGGCATCCCAGTATGTCATGGCCAGCTCTCTTCTAAACTTGTCAAAGGCTGAATGTATGAACACACTTCACGTCACGGTCAATTGTGGCTGATTTGTGGGGGACCAGATGCGACTGTGACAGGGGTCCAGCATGGTGGTTTCATTTGCATGCTCACAAGACACCCGTGGCTTGAAATATATATATATATATATATATATCCAAGCGAAGCCTTGGCCGAAACCACCAGCCTTGGAAGTGGGGTTGGTGAAAACGCCCTGGCCCTTGGTGAACTGCTGGCACACATCGGGCACCAGACCGCCAGTATAGCGCAGAGTGAACTTGTTGGTCATGTAGTGCCTACCAAAATGGTTGCATGTTTTTGTGTGCTCGTGCATTCCCCGTGTTCGCGCGTGGAAAAGCAAAGGAACGAGCAACTTGCTACAAAGCGTGCCCTCTTGAAAGAAGAAAACCAAATGCTTGACCTTCCAAGGTGCTGGATGAGGTTGTTGTAGCCGTCCACCTCCTGAGCCGCGCGCATGTTCGCAGGCGCGAAAATCTTGCACTCAGTCTTGATCTGAATCTTGTCCCTGGAGCAGATCCACTTGTTGCCATCACCCAGGGTAAACTCGTAGACGCCATCATCCAACGTGATGAACACAGTGGTACCTTGGTGGCTATTGCTCCTGCGCAAGAAGTTCAACTTTTGTTGATCAATGGCAGGAAAAAAGAATGCGCTGCCTAAAAGAGCGCTGCACATGAAGTAGGGGACGGAAATCAGGTCCCCCTCTCCAGCTGGGAAACGCCCCTCACCAGCCCTAAAAGCCGATATTGCAAAAAGTTGGGTTGACGACCTGAGCCCGTGCCAACCCACCCACCCTGTCCAGCCAAAAGTTGCTCTCCCTTCTCTGTTTCCGTGGATCCTTCTTAGGGAAAATGGTGGTTTTTTTTCAAAAAGACCGATGGTTGAATGAAATGGGAAATCAACCCCTAGAGAAGTGCACAGACTCCTGTTGGCAAACTATATTCCTTGTGGGGTTGGCTTGGTGGCTTGATCTACCCTCCACACGAACATCCAAACTGACAATTGAGGGTTCCTTTGGCTTTGGGGGGGTGAAAGGAAAAGAAAATAGAGTAGCAAGGTACGAGGCCCATACAGGGCAACGATGCTCATGACCTGGTCCCGGCCTGTGGCACCAATGAGCCCTGCAGGGTCTTTTTCAAGATTGGGTTACCCGGCAACAAGAAACAGAAAAGGAGCTTTAAACTGTGGCCTAAACGGCTTGTGTCTGGCTTTCCTTCAACACACCATAGCCCACCAAATGTGTGACCCTCGCCTGTGGACTTGTCCCACACCCCGACGATGGTGCCCACCGCCCAGTTGTTGTCCACGATGGAGCTGCCATCCAGTGGGTCCCAGCACAGCACGAACTGCCCATCCGAGTTGGTCTTCACAATCTCTGGCTCTTCTTCCGAGGACGCCTCAGGTTGGACGGAGATCGTGTGTGTGTGTGTGCATATTTGCAGCTGTTTTGGTGGACGCTTAGATCCTCTTCAAAAGGGGGCTTTCACTACTTGGGGCCCAACCCCAACCCCGCCCCCTTTTTTGGCTTAGAAACGAAAGCCACCTCGCGCCTCGCAAACGTACTTCGAGCCCTTGGCCAAGTCCCAGAGCAAGTTGTCCGCGATCACGTCCACCGTGAGTTGGCGGTCACCGAAGGCGTTGGAGGCATCGTTCACAGTGACCAGATTCACGCGCCTGAGCTTGGAGTCATGAAGCCAAAGGAAGCGGGTTCTAGATCCTAGTTCGTGGCAAAACCATACGAACCCTAGTGGCTCTTTGACAGTTCATCCCTTGCCCAAAATCTAGACCTCCAGTGGGATATGCGAGACAGCAGGATTCCCTAAGTAGTTTGGATGAAGCAAGTTTGGGCGGATGAAACAAAGGAGCCCAGGCAAAATCAGCTTCCAAACATTGGTTCATCAGGTTCGCCTTGGGGAAAAAACACGCTAAATCCCCAAAACGATGCTTTGAGCCACTTGTTACAGGCAGCCTGCCTGAGACTGCTGATCATTTGGCAAGTCAGGAGGGCGGATTAAAGAGATGACAAATTCTCGGCTCTCTGCTCTCACACCTATCCGTCCATTGGCGAGTCACTCCATCCCAAACTTGCCCAAGAGTTAGACAAGGGCGGCCACTTTAGCAATTGCCTGACGCGAGAAAAGGAACCTTGGAAGTCTGGAAGGGAGCTTCCCCTGGCGTGCGATTCCAAGAGCTGACAGGTGGCGGAGAGACAGATGGCATCTCTTTAATCAAGGAGAAAGAGATAGGGGCAGAACGACGAAGGGAATGGGATGACCGCTCCTTCCTTGCCGCCGCCATTTGCAAGCTATGAATTTGGAGGAAGGAGGTGAGTGAACCATTTGCCAGCTTTTCAGAGCTGGTAAAGGGAATGGGATGAGGATGGTGAAGGAACGCTCGTTCTTTTCTGCCATTCCTCCCTCCTATCGCCTGTCACCACAACGTTTCTTTGCGCTTGTATCGCCCGGCGGGTGATGCGCAAATTGCAGTAACAAGAGCTGTCATTCCAACTCAGACCAGGGCAATTTGGGCTGATGCCCCGGCTGACGCCTAGAATGCCACTGACATGTAAAGCGGCGCTCTAATTCCGGCCCGCACATGTCCCAAACGACTGATATTCATAAGGGCACCCAAATTCCAACTCACGGATTTTCCGGAAGACGTTAAAATGCCACTGACATGCAAAACGACGCTTTAATTCCGACCTGGGCATATCCTGGGTGCCGATTTGCATCTTCAATCGCGTCTTCACCGGCATGTTCGTCTTCGCCCCGTTTTCGTTGTCGCTCGATGTTTGTCTTCAGTTGCTTCTTGGGTTTTATTGTTTGCCGGATGTTTGCCTTCGTGGAAAAGCGCGTGACAGCGCTTACCTTCATAAACGGCATTTGCGTCTTCGCTATCTTCGCGCCTGGGGTCGCTCATGTTCGTTTTCACTTTCGTGATTTTCGTTTTCGCTCAACTTTCGCCTTCAGAGTGGAAAGGCGGAGCGCAAGTTCAATGGATTTCAGGTGTTGCTTCAAACTTGGACCCCTGTTTACCGCAATAATGCACATCTTCTGGATGTCACCAAGCCACATGCTCTTTGCCAATCCTGATCATGCTCTGAAAACCGTCTTCATGCTTTATAACCTGCACTTGCCAAAACCCCAACTTTGGTTTCAAAAAGGAAAGCTCCGCTGTAGATCCGTGTATATCTCAGAAAAGAGAACTCCAAAATTCCGAGGCGCAAGGCCTCGGTGATCTTCACACAAGCATCCAGCAGCTCATTGACCATGCCCTTCAGCTTCTCATCCTCTGGAACTGGTAATGATTCAAACCCGCTTGGGCGTTGTTCTTCCGCTCTTGACGGCACGGCCCGCGAACACTCTCCGAACACTTGCGGACGCCTGCGGACGCTTGCAGACGCTTGTGGGTGCTGCTTGCGAACGCTCGCAGATGCTCTCTCCCAGGTCCCTACTTGCAACAGAAACGTCGCTTTTTGTGACTTGAGGGGCTCAATAAGCGATTTAGAAACTTGACGCGCTGTATTCGCTGCGCCTGTGCGTGAGTCGTGTCTTTTGCAGCCACGCATGCCACTTCGCTGCGCAGACGCTGTGTTAGGAAGATGTCAATCGGCGCCTGAGGAATTAGCTGAAGCTCACTAAGGAGAAGTGAAAACGGCGAGAAGATCAGGTGTTTGCAACCCGACGAGTAAGTCAGTAAGTCAGAAAGTCAGTGAGGCAGTCAGTAATTGAGTGAGGTGAGGTGAGGTGAGGTGAGGTGAGGTGAGGTGAGGTGAGGTGAGGTGAGGTGAGGTGAGGTGAGGTGAGGTGAGGTGAGGTGAGGCGAGGCGAGGTGAGGTGAGGTGAAACGAGGAGTGAAATGAGGTGAGATGAGGTGAGGGGAGAGGAGGAGAGGAGGAGGGGAGAGGAGTTAGAGGGCAGATTGCATTTGGCTCCGTGGCTTCTATCAGGTTGTGTGTTCTCTTTTTGTTGACCCCCTGAAAGAAAACAAGAGGAGGCTATGGTCCCCTCAAGATTCAGTGGGTAAAGGAGGCTACGATAGAAAACAACAACTAAAGCCATGGTTCAAACAAGGAGACAGCTCCAAGTAGCTTAACACATGCTACAGCAAGGCAGGCAAAGCCAAGCCTGTCCTTCAGCTTTTCTGCCAAGACCTCCTCTAAGGTGTCGTACTTGTCCTTTGCCACCGCATCCGTGTAGAAGGACGTGTGCGACGCACCGTAAGCCTCATCCGAGTGGCGCGGCACCCTGGACCTGCGCGTGCGCGTTGCGTGAAATCACAACTTTGGCGATACCAATGCCTTTTGGACCACTTTGTCATTTTATAGGGGATGGGATTCCTGGTGTCAGAACAGTGGCAACCTACAACCCTACTTGCCCATGGAGGGTGGCTTGCGAGCCCTAATTAAACACTAAAGTTTCCAACCACCACGAAACCTGCGCGCGCCCGCGACTGCTGCGGCTACCACGGCGCCGCCAACGCCCACAGCGCTGGCGCTGCTGCTAGAGCTGCTGCGGGCACTTCTGGCGCTGGCCCCGCGGAGCCCCGGAGCTGCGGTTCGTGGGGCGGAGGGCGCTGTGAAAGCCCAGGTGCCGGCCAGGGCAGCGCCGATCAGGATCTTAGACGACATGTCTAAGGCGAGATGGGCAGGAGGTTTATGAGCAAAATGCTGCAGTGCCACACCCACGCTTGCAATCAGACTGTCCTCACCCTTGCGACATTCAGATTCCTGTGAGAACACCTTGAAAGACCGCGCCCCCGCTCCTCAAAACGCACGATGACCACGGTCATGTTGTCGCAGCCAAGGCCTGTGAATTGAAGGAACACAACAAGCGATTGAGCGCAGCAGCTCGCCTCCCCTCTGTGTAGGCGTGCTTGCGCAACAGGAATCTAACAGCCTCGGACGCGTCCGCTCGCGTCAATGCAAACGCAGGCCTGCACTACAGGCAAATGGCCCGGATTGAGCCAGTCAATATCCATTGTCTCCCCTGACGTGGAGTTTGGTGAGTAACCTCCATGCCCTCATTGTACTTTGGTGAGGTTGCTGCATGCCAGCCCCATTGCAACCGTAAATGCCAGTGAGTATTGACTGTTGCTGACTGTTCAAACCAAGGCTCTCTGAGAGAACTGGGACAAGACCCTTCTTGGATCCTGGGAGGAAGTTGTCTTCCGCACGAAAACCCGCGCAAACTGCTGCACATCAACCCACATGCTCTGTACTTGTTTTTGAAATTGGCACATTGGAGACTGCCCTAGTTTGCTTGGAAATTCATCACAAGTGCCCCAAAGTGTCCCTCCCAAATATGTGCAGCGGCCATCCTGGAGGCGGAAGACGAGAACGAACAAAGTTCACAGCCTGCTGATCGGTCATGCACTCCCAAACCTCAGCCACTGAGCGTGAAGAGGTGTCAAATTCTTGGCAACCCGACTTGTTACGCATGTGCGGCGATGTTACTTGGTGTGCGGCATGCTCCCCTGTTCTTTCTCGTCAGCTTCCCAATGCATGAAGGGCACACATGTGATTAGTACGGCAATGAACCGATTGAAACGTTCCCCAAAATGGAGCGAAGCCCCGGCCGCCTTTTTCTTTCGTTCTTTTTCCGACGTTTGTGGATTTTTTGTCCAGCTCATTTTGAGTGGTTTAAGGTGGGTTTGCGGCGCGCCTAAGTTTCTAGGGTGGTTTGGGGCGGGTTTGGGTGGGCCAAGGGTGGGTTTAGGGTTTTGAGGTGCGTTCAGGGTGCGAAGTGTTGTTTGGGGCGTGCTTCGGGTGCATTTAGGGTTGGTTTAGGGTGGGTTTAGTGTGGTGTGGGGAGTTAAAGTGCTTTAGGGTGGGTGCTCTAGTAGGGGATCAGACGATCTTAGATGGAGCTTGGATTGGTGCAGGGCTGGTTTAGTTAAGGTGGGTTTAGGGTGGGTTTGCTGTGGTTCGGGTGTTTAGGGTGGGTTTCGGGGGGTTTGGTGTTTGCGGAGTTCATGTAGGTTCAAGGTCGATTTAGGGTATTGGTTTAAGGTTGGTTTGCTAGGGTTGGTTTAGCGCGGACTTGGCTTGGGTTGGGGTTGGGTTAGGGTAGGTTTACGGGTAGGCTTAGGTGAGTTTAGGGTGGGTTTAGCGTGTGTTCAGGGTTGGTTGTTTAGTTCGGGTTTAGGGTGATTATATCGTGATTTTAGGTTGGGTTTAGCGAAGGTTTAAGGTGGCTTCGGGGCGGGTAGGGTAGGTGGTATGTTTCGGGTATACTGGGGAGGGGTTAAGGGCGCCTGCTTGCTTGCTTGCTTTCTTGCTTGCTTTCTTGCTCGCTTTCCAGGAGGCTGGAAAACAATCCAAATCCAGCCGAAAAAAATTGAATATGGAATCCTTGAAGATGTTGGTCTTCCGCCCCGCTGCGCACGAAGTCAACGGGCTGATGTTTTCCACTGGCCTGGCTCTAGGTGGCTCAGGCTGCGCATGCCATGATGGCGAGGCCGCGGCCGAGGTTTCAGATGAAAGTCATGTCAACGCAAGTTTCGGGACGAAATCTTCACACTGGTGGGAGAGGCAAAACAAACAAAACTGCCAGTCCCAGGGTCGGTCCCGAATGGAATCGCTCGGGTGCACACACACTCTGCAGGGGCGCCGCGTGGTGATCATTTCCTGCGATCGCTGCTCAGCACATTCTCGGAGGCGGTGGTAGACAATTCCACTTCGGCAGAGGTAGATCGCCGAGGTGGTGGCGTCCCGAAGCACGCCTTCTGTCATTCGCAGGTCGCGGTGCTGTTGCCGGTTTTCCTGGCGTAGCCGCATGATTTCCCCAGCAGCGATATTCGCTGACTCGTGCATGGCCTTGAGCTCGTCCTGCGCCTCGATGAGGGCCTCCTCCGTGGACTTGACATAGGCCTTCTCGTCGGAGAGGTCGTTCTCGAGCTGATGGATGCGCTCTTGGAGGTGTTGTGCTTCAGTGAGTCTATGCGTGCGAAAGTGGCTTGCCATGACAAAGCCGCACATCAGGATGCCACATAGTCACTGCCGTAGAGCTGCTCCTCGGAGTGGGCTGTGGCCATGGTGGGAAGCGTGAGCATCGTTGCTACCCAGAATGCCGTCGTGGTGGTGTGTTGGCGTGGGAAATCGCGTATTGGTAGGTGCTGGCTGCATCAGACCATGCCACCAAGCAACAGTCTGCAATGGGGGCGATGGGCCGATAGGTGAGGCCAACGTCGTCATTGCTCTTTGCGTAACGGAGGGCCTTGTTGGTGTTGTGGATGGTCTCAATGGTTGCAGTGGTGATCTCGCCGGAGAACATTGAGGTGTGAATTTGTACATGTGGTGAGCTTTGCACTGCTGGCCATTGCAGGGCTCCAAGGAGGGATCGGAGAAGGTTCCTCTCCTTGTCCGTCACTTGCTGATGTGGTTGGCGGTCCTCGCCGACGGTGATGGGCTTGACCTTCTTGAGGTATTCTTTGTGATGTAGTTTCCAGCCGCCGTCGGTGGCCTCCAGGGTGGCACCGCAGTATTCAAGGCTGGGACCTTCTTTCCATTCTCTGAAGGTGAAGATGTTCTTGAGGTCCTCGATCAATTTTATGACCTTGGGATGGCTCTTGTCGGCGGTGCAAATGGAGACCGATGATGGCCAGGAGTGGAGGTGAAGTTGAGGTCTCAGGGTTGTAGTCGTCGTAGAGGGCGAAGGCACAGCTGTCAAGCCGGTGCAGGACGAGTCCGACCTTCGCGAGTCGTTCGCTGGCTTCTTGATACCAGGCTCGAGGGGCATACACCAGGCCGTACATGGGCTTCCGGAGCCGCATGAGGATGCCCGAGTTGGTGATGCCAAGAATGTTCCGTGCGTCAGCCGGGAGTCGAATCCACAGGGCGCGGTGTGGAGCTGTTGGCCGCGATGGAGAGGATCATGCCGCGCGTGAGCCTCGTCACGGTGGGCGAGGTGCGCTCAACGATCCCGCTGAAACTGTCAGGGTCCTTGAAACCCTGCGTGATGAGCCGAGCCTTGGCACGTGGACTGCCGTCCTCGTTCTTGCTCCACTTCAGGATGAAGTGCGCGCGCAGGATGCGCTGTGCCGGAGCTTCTGATTCATCTGAGAACTCCCACACCTGGTTCTGGAAGAAGCTGGCGAGTTCCTTGCGCTTGGCCTCGATAAAGCTCTGCTGATCTGCGAGCGAGGCTCATGGTGCGCTCGGAGAGGTTCTTGGAGTCCTTCTTCCGCTGTTGTGGAGAGCCAGCATAGGTCTGGTGACCTTCTGACGTGTTGAAGAAATGCTCGTGGGCCCGTACTCGGTCTTGCGGTTGGATCTTGAAGGAAGTGCGTCCTGTCCAGTAGATTTGCTCGTCGAGGTGGTTGGAGCGGCAGCGCCAACGATCTTGTCGTGACTGGCCGTCTGCGAAACGAGTTGTTCGGGACTTGTGGAGCATGGGTAGAGGAATGGGGCAATTCCCGTCCTCACTTGGGTCGTAGAGCATGTTTCGGGGGATGTAGTGGTTGCGGATGAGGTAGTTGCCATTTTTGGAGAGGGTCCAGTCGTCGTGGATGGTGTCCAACACAACGTGGCCTGAGGCGTCAGCGTGCCATCCTGGTGGGGAGAGGCATGTTGGTGTCGCTGGTGTCGTCGACGATGTCGACCTTGAAGGCGTAGTCCGCTGTCTCGTCGGGCGGTTGTTGTTCGTATGGCCCAGGTCGTTGGCCGCGACGATGGCTGGGGCCGTAGGAGATCGTTTCCTGTCGGTCTACCCGTCGTCGCTGTTCGTGGAAGGATTCACGCTCGGTCTTTTTGTAGAGATCGAAGTCGGTAGATGTAGTCGTTGTCGGGGCTTGAGGTCCGTGTGGTGGAGATGAAGCTGGTTCGGGTTCTGCCGATGGTTCGGCAGAGTTGTGGCCGTTTGTACCTCGCGATCCAGAGGTTGAGCTAGGCTCAGTCGTCCGTTCAAGCGTAGGTTCGGCCGTGGTGGGCGCTGGTACAGTTTGTGCGTTGCCCATGGTCACATCGCCCTCGTTGTTAACCACAACGAAGCGAGTGCGACCAATCCATGGGTGTTGGATGTCGAAGTGCGAGTCGAAGGGTTGGTGCCAGTCGTCATTGCGGTGTTCTGCTTCGAGGGCAGGTAGGCCTGTGTCCGATGCCAGGCGGTAGATCTCGGTGTGCCGAAGGCTTCCGAGTCGGTGATATGGGATGTCGGGGTCATCCGCTGATGGGCAGAAGAGCTGGTGTCGTGGGAACTGATGGACCCGATCGAAGGACAGTCCGTCGGGAGCAGGCTCCCAGTAGTCGACCAGAGGCTCATGGTCCGGGGATGGTCGCTTTGGGTCCGGGTCCACATCCTCATCATCGGAGACATCGTCGATTTTGCGCTTGTTGGATCTGAAGAGGTCGACGTAGGTGGTGGTTCCTCGACTCCGGAGGTCCTGGACGTGTTCGGGGGCTGCACGGAGAAGGTTGGATCCGTGGACGATCGGGGCTTGCCGGTTTCGTTGTCGGTTTCGACCATGACGATGGTGGCCGGGCCCTTCCATTTGATCTTGGGTCCAGTCCCAGCGGCATCCCTCCAGTAGTAGACTTTCATGCCGATGGTGAGGGGCTCGGAGTTGCCGCGATACTGTCGGAGAAGGGCTCGTCTGAGTCGGGCGTCGGCATCGGCCAACAAGTTGTGAGGCTGGTAGCCGAGTACCCATTGGCTCGGGGTGAAGCCTTTGTA